CCGTCCGCACGTGCCGGGCCCGCTGGCCGCGGGCTGCGCCGCCTGGGGTGCCTGTGAGCTTCCCGCCCCACGCCTCCCCGGGGCCAGCAAAGCCCACTCTCAAATATGCCACCTCCGGGCTCCGAATGTGCCGGCCTTCCCCTCCCCTTGTTCCTTGTAAAGATGACGGATAATTTTAGCCAGGACAAAGTAGTTAAAGGACAACCAGGAGAATGCTGCATGGTTACAGTCCAAGTGGCACATATAATGTCTTTCTGATGAACATTAATGGGCTCCGGTGTGCTTTGGGGAAAGTACATTACAAGGACTTTGTGAGAGAACATTATGACCGGACCCTGTAATTCTTGCTTATATTCACCAGAACTGAATGTTCACACATCCTGGCTTTTACGTTGCCTTGCTCATATTAAATAGGAAAATGGATGGAAAACAAATGGCAGAACTTGGGGAAGTTTTTCTTTCTTCCTTTAAAAAAAAAAAGGCAGATGGTGTTTTGAACACAACTTGTCAGAGAACATGAACGCATAAGAGTTCTGGCTGTTTGAAGGGGGAAAAATAAGTTGATTCTTTTTTAGTGGTAAAAAGTAACTTTAGGTTCTCTCAAGGGCTCAAAGGAAAAAAACCACTGAGAAGTGGGAGTGAACTGCAAGATAGGGTTTCTGAAGCAAGTACCTCAAACCACAGGCGTCACATGGGCTCTTTCTGCTTTGCTACTTCTGATTACTTGTCAGAGGGCAATACTTTTAGCTTCCCTCATCCTGCAAGGCCATTCAACCATGTGCCAGCTGGAGTGATCTATATTCACAATGTCTTTACAAAGGCTCATGCAGCAGAGCAGCAACTGCAACTTGGTGGACTGCTGTGCTGGTTCAGCATGCAGCTCTTACTCCACACTCACAGGCAACTTTTCCATGGATGATAATAGAAGAATTCAAATGCTGGCTGACACTGTGGCCACTTTGCCTCGGGGACGAAAGCAGGTATGATTGCTATTTTGCAACTTTTAGAGTGTTCATATTCTCTTGAAAGTAGGGTGATAGGTCTGTCGAACTTCATACTAAAAATGTAATTTTAGAGGCTTCTAAGAGTGCGTGGGGGGTGAGGTAAGGAACTCAGACAGTACTAGTCTAGAAACTTAAGACCATAACAAAACTTGATCATGGCAAAACTTTAAAGAAGATTGCTTTTCTCACTTGAAGAGGTGTTCAAATAAAACAAAAACCGTTGAGCACATCAAACTTGAAGATGCTATTTATGGACATGACTAAATAGCTTGAGAATTCTTGATCTTTTCCCCCGGTGTGTTCCCTCATTGATTCTTTCCCTCCCAGCCTCACTCCCAGTCATAGATAGTCATTCCAGCTCATAACCATACGAGAGTACTTTTTTTGAGGACAGATTTTCTGCACTAGATTCTCTTCAGCTTGGAGGCATGGGAACATGCCTCATGTTCTTAAGAAGATGTATATTGGATGAGTGGGTGCAGATTGAACACCAGCTCAGTCACTCAGTAGTTGTGGGATCTTGGGCAAGTCATTGGCCTCTCTAAGATTCGGGTTTATTTTTCCTAAAGTGAAGATAATAATAGAACCACACTGTGGGGCTCCTATGCTGCTTAAGTGAGAAACATGCAGTGCTTAGCAAAGAGACTGAAATGTAGTAAATGCTCGATAATTATGCTTTTACTTTTATTTTTACTGCAAAGTATTTCCCTAGGGCGGGAAACACATTTGGAAAAAATCCATGTTTAACAGGATTTATTGTGAATATTTTTTTAATTCTTTGACTTCTAATTAAAAAAAATTTTAAAGCATAACACTAGTTATATAATGTGCTATAGTGCCCCAAATACATATTTGAATTTAGATACAGCATTTGTACAGAAAATACTTAGAATTACTTTAATAAAATTTTGCCCTTAAACGTTGCAAGTGCATCATGTGCTCCACTTAAGCCTCCTAATTTTGGGATTGGAGAGTCAGAGCATAGCAGGAGGCATGATCTTTTCTCAGGGATGTACATGGCTGATTCCTTGGGATTTGTCACAGTGAAGATAAGGGCATCATTGGCGATGGTTTGGATTGTCGACCTTTTCCATCCAAAAGTGCTTTTATGATATTACGTTTAACATAATGATGAACATGTCTATTAATTTACTACCTGTCTGAAAATAAAGCAACTATGGGAAGTACCAAAATCTTCATTCGGTTTTCAGGTAAAGAGCAGAATAGGAGGTTCAAGATGAGAACAGGCTTCCTGCCCTCATTGGGTTTACAGTTAAGCAGGCAGAATGAACAGGTGTTATACAAAGTAAAGCAGCATGAATGCTTGAATCCAAGTACGTGTCTTTGAATACACCTTGAAGGAGAGATATTCCAGATTCCAGAACAAGGGAATAGTTAATATTGAAGCACAGATCTTGGGGCCTTCAGGGAATGTTTAAATAATGGCACATTATTGGGTCAGGAGGAACCAGTGTCTGTGTGGGAGGTGGAGGGGAGACCTCAGAGCTGGGCTGCTTTGCAAAACACTTGGACGCTTTCCCCTGAGGAAGCAGTAATTTGAGCAGCACAGGGAGCCACTGGGTGTGTTTGAGCAGTAGAGGGATTTAGGAACCTTATTCTAGAAATGCGGTCTGTCAGCAAGTGAGTAGAGACTAATGGTGAGGGAGCAACTTTGGCACTAGTTGGAGAAAGTGGAGAGAGTGGAGAGGAGACCCAAAGTCTTGAATACCAAAGGCGATGAAGACGGAGGGGTGACATACAGTTTTTACGCCTGAGTGAGGATAGCAGGAACAAAAAGGCAATCAGCAGGAGGTTATTGGGAGAAGATAACGAGAGGGATTTAGGCATATGAAATGTACACAAGTGTGTGTGTGTGTTTCCGTGTGTATAATACATATACTTGCACATACACACACACATTCCAACATCAATTATTTGTGTGTTCGCATCTTTTCTAGGTCTTGTCTTCCCCCTCATGTCCTTTCCCATGGTAGACTCCTCCTAGTCAAATAGCTTTTTCTTACTGTTGTGAGAATGACTTCAAGAAAACAAAGGCAAAACAAAACCTCCTGTTCATCATGCTTGTTCATTTCACTGAACTGGTTTTTAGAGAAGAATCACCCATTTGGCACTGACTGAATTGTGGGCAACATGATCTGCGGGAGGCCATCACATGAGCAGGTGTTCCTCTGCCCACTGTTATTTTCAATTCTTCCAGGGTTGACGTCAAGAGTTCATACTTCTCATTATTGTTGGCTTTGGTTTCTGCAAAGCTGTATCTGGTTAACCTGTAGTTTCAGATCAGTCTTCAGAATCATTTGGGTGTTTACACTCAGAATTGCTTAAAAACAGATTGCTGTGTGTACACATTATCTTAATGCCCATGTTTGTAGGAGGTGAGAGAAACCCCAGTACAGCTCCTATTTCTCAACACAGTTTTAGGGGAAAAAATACCTGCCATGGGAAAAACTTTAGGAAGGGGACTGGGGAACATGAGGATAGTCTTTAGAAATGTTGTAATGTCCAAGGACTAGGGCTGCCCTTCGAAAACAGTTTTTACTAAATGCCATAATGAGGCCAGGCACCTGACATGTGAGAAGCTTGAGTGTACATCAGTGGTAGCACAATCTGAATCTCTTGGCCTGATTTTCTCTTGATTATCAAATTACAATTGACCCTTGAATAACCTGGGTATGAGGGGTGCTAACAGTTGAATATTGGTGTATAAATTTTGACTCCGTAAATTCTTAATTATTAATAGCCTACTATTAATAGGAAGCCTTACTGAGAGCATACACAGTCGTTTAACACATATTTTGTTGTAGTTCTATGTATTATATACTGTATTCTTATAATAAAGTAAGCTAGAGAAAAAATATTAAGAAACTCATAAGGAAGAGAAAATAAATTTACAGTATTTATTTTAAAAATCTGCATATAGTAGACCTGCACAGTTCAAACCCATGTTGTTCAAGGTCAGCTATATTACTAAATCAACAACTTCTGGAAGGGTAATTTTACTTAAAACTTCAGACACAGGATATTGTGTTCAACTCTGTAATGAATGTATTTCTGGGACGGGTTCTGCCCTTAAGGAGCTTTTACATTATTTGTGGCGCCACACCCATCTGTTACCAAAACTCCCAAGTGCTCCTAACCACAACAAAGTATTTTGCTCATTTAATGAAATTTTTTTAGGTAGAAAACTGTTAATTTCACCACAAAAGAATTTGAAAAGTATTCTCTAATCCAAATTGTTGCATGCTGGGGAGTCAAGCTCCAGCAGTTCTTCCTGAAGAAGAGGTTCATGAGCCCAGAATGAGACTTCCCCGGTGAAGCTGCAACCCTCTTTGGGCTCCTTAAGGGCACTTACAAGTGAAGCAATTGAGTTCAGCTCCTTTATTCTGCTGCATGTTAGGATCATCTGTGCAGCCCGGCTCTCCTAAGAATGCTAATTTAAGAGGGAGAAGAAAGCTGTACTCATGGAAGAACTGGGGAGAGTGAGGCAGGGGACAGGAAAGGGAGCAGAGCACATGATTTTGGAACTTTGGAAACAAAGGAAAGCAAAAAACCTCACCTACGAATAAGTGTGGCCCCCTTCCCCTCCCCCACACTGTCAGGAAGCGAGCACACCAGCGAGGACCAGGAAGCAGCCGTCTGTTACCTAACAGCAGAAGTGGCAACCGTACTGACCTTTGAGCTCCTCTGAGTCTGGCAGGCTAGCTGGCTGAGCTCCTGCAGGTCGTCCCCCTTTTGCAAACTGACAGCTGAAATATTTGGTCTTGGTCTCCCACCGAAAAGGGACATTGTAAATCACTGGAGAGCAGGAAAAATTACGTCTTGAATATTAATGCCTGATTTTTAGGTCATCTGATTAAACCAAAAGAAGAGGGATCATAAACTCAACCCCAGGCATGTTTGTGTCCGCGGCTAGCAAGGGGTTAAAGAGCTCTGTGTACTCAGCAGTCTCAGTTGAATTGCCAAATTGCTAAACCTAGCAGTTCTCATATTAGATAATGTGTAATAAAAGACAGCTGTTCCCAGCATATGCTGTTCATTGCACACCAGTTCCTCATTCATGAGTTGTGGTGTTATCACTACAACCCTGAGAAAAGGCTCAGGGAAGGCAGTCTTTAGGCCCTAGAACAGTGCTGCTCACGTTAGGGAAAGGGCTGCAGGGAAAAGTTTTTCCAAAGTGCAAGACCTTTGATAAGACCTTAGACTTCTTTTCACTGAGGCAGATAGTCTGGTGTGTGAGCAAGTTTGAACCCTGAGAACATTCCTTTCCACATCACCGAAGTCTGACAGCCCTGATCAAAAGCAAGTAGTCTTTGTGTCAAGATGTGGCACGTGTCAGAGAAATTGATGGTGCCTAATTTATTTAAATTGTTTTTTATTTAAATGTTAGGTCCTAAAACAGGCTCATTGCTAATCCGGAGTGGAAACTAATTTGTAATTTGACTTAGTCTGATTTTTGTGTGTGTCACTAATAACCCAAATCAGTCAGTCCACAGGAATTGAGTATCTATACTATATGCCTCACACATTGTGCTAGGCAAAAATTTTCATTTTTCAACAAGTCAATTAGCTAGATAGAAAGGGTAGCAGGATAGAAGTGGGGAAATTTCCTTCTCTGTAGAGCTCTTGGAGTTGTCTTGTGGATTTAAAGATTTTAAGTTTGCTCTATCTAGAATGATTTTTGATTTAGAAGACAGGTTGAAGGTGGACCAGCTGAAATCTTGAGGTTCTCATCAATGCTATGATTAATCTACTAAATAATGATAGCAAGAGTTGCATTTTTAAATATAAACCCTGGTTATGGTTACAGATATTAGATATGACCTACCTAAGTAATTTACAATCTGCAATAGGATAAAAGCTAAGCAGATGCAAATAATAAAACAGATTAAGAAAATGAGAGTAACAATAGGAGGGAAAGATTGAGGATGCTGGGGAATATCAAGTTCCTTGCTCTCTTCCACCAGGAGTTAGACTACCACATAGCTGAATGGTCCCCGCTCTTGTTATTGATACTTCTCAGGGCAAAATCAGGCTGAAATAAACCGTGCAAATTGTTGTAGGTCTTCCACAGTCAGTCCTTATAACTTGAAAATAAGTACTTTTTAGCAACTCGAGAGAATCCTTTTGGGTCTGAGCCTCCCTATTGCTGTCTGCAGGATAATGGAAATGATTTGAGGTCCAGAACTGACAAGAGAGAAAAATGTAATTAATTTACATCAACTTGGTGGGAAGAGACCAGCTCCCAATACATTAACTTCACTGACCAACAGCCAAAGTCTGCCCTAACACTGAGGCATTCCAGAAAATTTGTCAGAATGCTGGCATCTGGTACTGGGTAATCCCAACTCCTTAGTGAAGTCGCCTTATCTCCTAACAAATGCCTTAATGAGGATTTATTTTGTGTGTTAATTCCTTCTATGCATTTTTCTCCTTCTGGTTTGCATCCTCTATTTATTTTATTTTTATTTGTTTGGACTCACTATGCATTGACCTCCTGACAATTTATGTGTTCGGTTGACAGGTAAGCCTCATGGGTTAGCTAGCAGCAAGAGCTTATGTTTTGGGCCCCTGGACTAACACTTGAGAAAAGGCTAATTCACATTGTTCTTTCCTAAACAAATAAACACACAAAAGAAGCTCACTTTAATCACTTAGAAAAGCACCTAAAAAACAAGATGCTACCTTTTGTTAACTTTTCCTCAATTTACAATGGTTGATTGTATTTTGGAATTTTATGTTTATATGATCTTTTTCCAAACCATAGAGTGAAGCTGATATTCTTTATGCTATTTATACCATTCCGAGGTTACTTTCCTTTCTTGTCTGGAAATCTCGCTGCATTCTTCCAAAACAATTTCAGAAATAAATCATAAACAGAATTGAGGGTTTGAGTGTTCGGTTTTACTTGAGTTGTATTTCAGCATATGAGTTGGTTCTTTAGAGATTATTTTAACCTGCTTTTTAAAAGTAACATTTTAAAGTAACTATTACAGTAGTTACAGTCATTCCATCAGCATCTCCAAAAACTATTAAGTATTTGGGGTTTGTATGCCATTTTATGGGTGTTATTTTTCTTTGGATTTCAGTGTGATTATAAATTGCTATGGTTAATCTCCCAGAGGCTATTTTTAATACAGATTAGATATGAAGTTCTTTTGGGAAGCTTTGGAGTTTTGCCACATTACATTAACTCTTGCCACCGTGTATTATTATCAGAGACTCTTAATCTTTTAAACAGAATGCCTGAACTTCCCTTTGCCAGCTCTCTTGCTATCACTAAAGAATGGAAATTACTCCATTACCTTCTTTGAGCTGAGCCAAAGACGGTGATAAAGAACAAAGTCCTTTGTGACTTAGAATATTTACAGATGTGTCTTAAGGACTTTTTGATAACTGTGTGCCTGTTGTATTTTTCAGCTTGCTTTGATGAGATCAAGTTCCTTAGGTGACTTTTCCTGGTCTCAAAGGTAAATAGATTCATTTCTTTTTTGGTCTCTCATCAACCTATTTAGGAACACAGCTCTCTGGACTTATTGATAACACACATACACACACACAATCACAATACTACAATTTACATAAATGTCAGCTACTTTAAATTGTGACAATTTAAAAAAAATAAGTATGTGACAAATGTGATACTTTGATCTTCATGCATAGTAACTTTTAACATTTAAAAATGTTTTTTATTACAGAAAGCTTGTTACTGTGGAAAAGCAGGATAATGGAACATTTGGATTTGAAATTCAGGTGGGCAGTTTTCAAATTTTTCAGACTTTTAATGAAGACAGTAGCACTGGTATTGTCCTGACATTTGCAAAGCAAGAATGAAGTCAGGATTAGAGAATGACCGAGACTGTGGTTTTTATTCATTGTGTGTTCGGGTAGTTCTTTAGTGTCTTTGGTACCATCAAGGAAAGGAAACACTGAAACATAAAATAAACCCCCTGAGATTTGCTCAACTCCTTGCCTCGGTCTCCCTGTAAGTCTGAGACTGATCAGAAATGCTTGGTGTCAGCCAGGTCTTAAATAAGAAAGTGAATACTCTTTATATGTGTATTTTGTATATTTGCATGTCTGATGTGTTTGCATAATTATTTTTATACTACATGTCAGATTTTAAATCTGTACTTTGATGTTCAAAATATACATGGACTGCTTGCATTCTTGAATAGCTCCTATTGCATTTCAAAAATACTAAAGATGTTATTTTTGACACATTTGTACTTTTTTATTAATTACAACACTTTATTATTTGAAACACTTAAGAACATTGTTCTACTTGCATAGTGCCTCTTGCTCTGGGAAATTTTTAAAACAGCTTGTAGGTTTCTATGTAATAGCTTAACAATTTCAGTTCTTATTTGCTGCCTGCTTTTTAATGGCCATATTTGTAAAGATGGTGAATTAGGTCAAATGACTAGTCCAGTTAAGTGCGAGAGCAGTAGCTTAAGTATTAACTGTTTTTTTCCGTTACACTTTTGCATTTTTAAAAAAAATGTGTTTCTCACAATCATATTCTTACGCTGCACATCATCTTTTAGGTCTTAGCTTTGGTGCTGCTTTCAGGAAACTTTGTTGACTAAGTATCAGCCCCACAGTTGGAAAGTAAGCCTGTATTTTAAGATAAAGAACAGGAAGCTGCTGAGTAAAACATGCTGTTTGAATAAAGAAACAAAATGGATCTCTACCTTCCATGAGCAGGAAGAAGGCTGCAGGAGAAAAGGAGATGCCTTCTGCTTTCTTGACTCTTCTACTTTTAAATTTGGGGGAACCTACAGTTCTTCCATCAGGTTTTAGACACTAGCACTCTCTCTTATTCCCCTCTCGCACAAAAACACTCCCTGTTCTGTTGCGGAGACTGTCCTTTTGTGACTGCCCCTTTTTCAATGAGGATCCCTGACGACTCATTCACATACCCTTATTTAAAGTGACAAATTAGTATTTTTCTCTCACCCTTCTATATATGTCACTGCTCCCCCATGTCTCCCTGCTCCAGCACCATCAACACTTATACTGTGTGGAGCAGGAGTCAAAACTGCCGTTAGCGGACCACAGGCCACAGCACCACGAACCTTTCTAGCTCAGCACGAGCTGATGGCTTCACCTCTGAACCGGAGCACATATGTGTTATCTTAGTAATGCAGGAACCCACTCCTCTGCACATTCCTTTTTGATGTACTCTTTCCATGACCAGCTCCATGTCATATCTCTTCTCTAGTACTTACAAGATTTGCATTTTCATCGAATAGAGAAAACTGCTGTGGGAACTTTTTGAAAACCAGAGAGAACCTCATGTACTCATATTGTGCACCCTTTGTTAACACCTCTTTGGGCCCTGGTTTACCAAGTGAGTTGTTTTAACAGTGGTTTCCCAACAGAGTATCTGTTATAGCTTTGGTTCGTGCACCACGTGAACTAGGCCATGCACTGAAAGGTCACTGGTTCAATTCTTGTTCAGGGCACATGTCCAAGTTGCAGGTTCGATTCCCATAGGGGTGAGTATGGGAGGCAACCAATCAATGTTTCTCTCACATCAGTGTCTCTTGCACTCTTTCTCTCTCCTTTTGTCTCTTTCTAAAATCAATAAAAAAACATGTTTTAAAAAATAAGAAGGAATGATCATCAGACATTCATTTCTTCATAAGGAAGCAGTACTGGAATGTGGTTTATTTTTAGGAATCAGAATGGTAATTTTGAGTCTAAATGGAACTAGACTTCATAACTTAAATGTGTTGGTTATAAGTCACTGGGTGACTCTACCTAGCAAACATTTACCCAGCGCTCTTGATACAAATTAAAAAAACAAAAACAAATTGCTTCTGTGAAATTGAGGCAAGAGGCAAAGTATAACTTCCCTAATTTGGTTGAGTGATTAATGAACCAGTGAGTATTCAAGGCAAGTGTACCAGCAAGTGCTCAGAAATGAAGGTAATTGAGTCAATTATAGTACTTCTGAATTAATGCAGGGCAGACTGTCATTATTTACAGAACCCTAATGTCAAAGAATTATTATTGGCATGTCTCCATTGCTGGATCTGTACTGTTTTGTCTGCTTCTGTATTAAGTACTTTAGCATGGGGGATCCTCGTGGACATCTTTCTCTTTGCTCTTGGCCACCATTTTTTTATCCCATTGGGAAATGAGAAACTTTTTTTTTCCAAGAAATATGCAATAGTGATAGCATCAGATGGTCTCTTAGGCCTGAAAATATAAAAGCTTGAGCCAGTCTTATCCCACTTTTTTTTCTCAAGGCAGAATTTTTTTTATGAATGGGATTGGCTGAAGGTTGTCTGGTAGGATTGCAAAATTTGTACGTTTGCTTTTGTTTATATTCAGGAAAGCCTTTCCAAATGGTTCTTTGCATTTACCATTATAACACTTAAGGAATCGACACCATTTTATTTTTTTACAAATAGATTTTGAGTTTTGGGAATAGTAATTATGTATCACTTTAACTTTTGCAGACTTACAGGCTCCAGAACCAGAACAGCTGCTCCTCAGAGCTGTGCACTCTGATCTGCAAAATCCAGGAGGACAGCCCAGCACACTGTGCTGGACTGCAAGCCGGTAATTTATAACTTTGCTCATGTTAAGAATTATTTAAATAGCAAGAAGAGAAAACTTTTGCTAGCGAAGGTCAGGGCAGTATTGTTGCTTTGAATTTTCTTAGCGCCTTTATGCCGTTAAGGTTTGAGGCTTGTTTTTCTTCGTTTGCATGTCAGAAAGGATTATTTGTCAGAAAGGATTATTTAACCAACCTCGTTAACACTCATTTTTTTCTTGGCATCTCCCAGGTGATGTCCTTGCAAATATCAATGGTGTGGGCACAGAAGGCTTTACCCACAAGCAAGTTGTTGACCTGATCAGATCGTCAGGAAACCTCCTAACGTAACTATCTATCTGCTTCTCGTGGGGCTTCAGAAATGTTATGGTCTCTCATAATGGCTGTTGAGTGAATGAATAGAGTTATTGTTCGGGGTCACAAGAAGGGAGGCGGTGTGCCACAGCTTTGGAACTGGATCCAGACGTTTTTATCAGTTTCTTTTGTTTCTCAAGGTTTCCTCAATCTTGCACATGTTGTCAACATCTAAAGTCAGAGGACATGGATAGCCCAAACATCTGAGTGGGAGGGAGAGCATTTAAAAAAATAATTAATGTTAAATTCAATTAAACTGGCACTCACTTTCTTTGGATCAACAAAAAATGTTCCAATTTCCATAGTTGATGTAATCTTATGGTTAGAACAAATAAAAGGTCAGAAGGGTTGAGTTTTTCATTTTATACCACAAGCCAACTGTTTCTCTATCTAGTGTGTTCCATTTGGAAGGAAGAACTATGTGTGCCAACCTTCCCCACCCTGCGCACACACAGACACTCACACTCACACCTGCTGCACTTCCAGACTTACTAATGGGACATTGGTCTCCCCTACTGGAGATTTGACTGACTTCAATATACCATCCCTAGAGCCTAATAAGACTTCAGTATTTAGTTAAAAGATGGAATTAACTAATTCGTTGAAATGTATTTCTTGAGCAAATATGATGTTTCCAGCACTGTGATAGGCTCAGGGGAGATGGAAGGAGATAGATAAGAAAAACTTGCAGAAAAAAATAATTTTGATATTTCAATTATTCTTTTTAAAAATATATATATATCTTTAATGATTTCAGAGAGAGGAAAGGAGAGGGAGAGAGAGAGAGAAGCATCAATGATGAGAGAGCCATTGATCGGCTGCCTCCTGCACGCCCCACACTGGGGATCGAGCCCGCAACCCGGGCATGTGCCCTGACCGGGAATCGAACCCCGAGTGCCTGGATCCTAGGTTGATGCTCAACCGCTGAGCCACACCCGGCCGGGCATGATATTTCAATTATTGATAACTGCTATGAAGAAAGTACAGTAAGGAGTGGGTTAGGACATTGAGTAAGAGGGCTGATACTTTAGCTTAGGTCTTTAACATGGTCCTCTCGGAAGAGGTGGACTTTGAGCTGAGACCCAAATGAAGACAAGGATGGTTGTATGAATTCTTGGTGAGAGAGCATTTAAGGTAAAGAGAGAAGTCTCTGAGTTGTCAAAATGGGCTTGGCACATCCAAGGGAGGGAAAGAAAGCCAGTGTAATTGGTGGTAGGTTGAGTATAATAAGAGATGAAGACAGAGAGTTGACCGGGGGACAAAGTATGGTTCTATCAGCCAGGATTTATTTTCTCATTTGTTCTTCACAACCATCTCATGAGGTTAGTTTTATTCCTATTTATAGGTGAAGTGACTGAGGTTGAAATGAGATTTAGTTAAGATTAACCATCTAGTAAGTCACAGGGCTAGGATTTGACCACTTGCTCTGGATGCCATGATCTCTTCAGCCACACCACAGCTGCTCATTGCAAGCTGCCAATAGAAGATCCACTGGACACTCTTCAGTGATTGTGGTCTAAAACTTCAAAGGATATTTTTGTGTGTCTAGGAGTAATTTTGAAAGATAACTAGTGGTGATAAAGGACTGAGTCTAACTGCCAGTGTTTTCTTTTGGATTCTGTATGGTTTCCACCTTGCAGATTCAAGCTTCTCTTTACCCTGACTCATAGGATCCATAGAGTTGGACTTGGTCACCTATCACCACCAGAAGGTTGTTCTTAACTAAACCTCATGTAAGCCTCAGTCATTTCATATAGTGGGCAGACCTCAGGAGGATATTTAAGGAGTAAAGAGTGGAAACAGTTGGAAAGCCAGAGATCAGGAAAATGAGAGACAGTCTGTACTAATACTGAAGAGAGCAGCCAATCTAGGCTGGAAGTATTGCCCATAGACATCTATTGCTTGGGCAGGTCAGATCAACATAAAAAATCCCGATGGAACAGATTCGCAGGGATTCTCACCATTGCCCACAATCAAGACTGCACTAATGAGAAAGCAGATAATGTCTTGGCTTGCTGTCATCTCATTATCTTGGGTATGATGTTATTAGAAATTGAGGAAAATTGAGCTCCGCATTTAATACTATTATTTTACCATGCCTTGAAAACTTCATGCATCTTTAGAGAGTTACAGCTTATTTATCAGAAGGAATTTGAACCAATACTTTAAAAATGCTTAGGAGTGTGACTCACACATGATATTTATCTTATCCAGATTGATGGCCTAATAGTCAAAATAAAGGCCTCTAACCTGTGCCCACAAAACATATCAAATCACTCAAGATAGAACAAGTGTTTTTATTTTTAGAAAGGTACAGGGAGAAAGTACACTATTAAATTAATAATTCTAGGGTTAAAATCTGTGGACTTGAAAGGTTTGGAGATGAAAGAGTCATATAAAGGTGACTACAGTTACTATCATATGAAGGTTGGACTCTACATGGTTTCCACATTGCAGAATTAAGCTTCTACATGATAGTAGTTCTGGTTGTCTTTGTTCCAGTTCCAAAATAAAGGCAATTTACAGAAGTCAAGGCTCCTGGCATCTTAGGGAGGAAAAGATTTTTTCTTTTCAAGGAATAGCATGTTGATGCCATAGTTTGCAAGTCCTAGTGATTGTTATTCTTATTGCTGAACTCCTCATGCTTAGCATGGTGTCTAGTGTCTGGCACATAGTAGATGTCCAATAAGTATTCACCAAATGAAAGAGGTGATCCAGACAGATCTCACAAGAATAGATTCTGGTATAGAACAACCATCCTTGTCATACAGTGGCTTCTATAAAATGAACTACAATTTACAAACTAACCAGAATCTTTCAGTCACCCTCTTAAGGGGTGTTGTTTTTGTTTGTTTGTTTTTTCCATTTTCTTTCTCTGAATGTTGTTAGAAGATTTGAAGTAGGTCCAAATACTTTTAGCGCCAGGAGAATTGTAACATTTATGTTGCTTTTTTAAGGATGGTCTGTGCTCAACTTGTAGTACTTCATAAGGATGGTACTTGTTTGAATGAATCACTCATGCTATTCTCCTCCCCTCCTTTTTTTCTTAAAACAGGATAGAGACTCTTAATGGAACAGCAATTCTCAAAAAAGCAGAGCTTGAAGCCAAGCTGCAAGTCTTAAAGGTAATTTGATTTAATATAGTGAGGTACATTTTTCATCCTTGAATGTGTGAGTGATAAGATAAAGATCTATTTGAAGAATTGAGATAGCCCTTGAGGATGAAATGTCATGATGAGTCTAAACTGCTGAATTATCAAGAGCCAGACAATTAGCTTTGCAGGAATATTAAATTTCACAAACCAGTGCAAATCACTTTCTTCCTCCTCTGTGTGTCTGTGAGGCTCAGAAAGGCAACAGGAAGGCACATCAATTGAAGAAATTTACATTAATGGACCTATCTCTCTTGACTTACATTTTTTTGTTTGGGGGGAAAAAACAAAAAACAAAGAAGGAGGAGCTGGCCTTTTTGTCATTTTCCCAAGTGCCACATGTGTGCAGAAGGGCCTGGAATTTTTGCTTTCTATTGTTTTTCTCTGGGTCCTCCCATTCTGCCTCATTCATACCACGAAAATCATCTCTCTATACTCCTATGGCTGTCCTTGAATCTACTCTCATTGGCAAACACACTACCAACTTTGAAGAGGAAAAAATAAAATTTTTAGGAGATAGTGTACAATGCAGGATATTCGTGAACATTCCCTGGGATCGCTCTTGGAGGGTCATAAAATCTTCTAGACTGGAGAGGCTCTGCCAGGCCGTGAAGTCCAGACCCTCACTCATGTGCATCTGGGTCAGAGCCCTGCAGACCCCTCCCCCGGCTCCAAGGACCTCTTTATCCTGGGGCTGCCCCCTGCATGGCAGTAAGGCAACCCCCCTGAGCAAGGACTGGATTCGTTTGTGGGTATAAGTTAAAGGCCTTTATTTTGACTATTAGGCCATCATTCTGAATAAGGATTACAGGCAGGCTGCTCACTTGGGTTTTGAAAAGCATCTATTAGTTTTCTCTATGAAGTATGCAGTTCTAAATTATTGAGCCCATGAAGGTAGAGTTACTATACAGTATTTATCTTGTATTCCCTTCCCCCACATCTAATTTATCAAAAGGCCTGTTTTCTTCTTTGTTAACATCTGGTTATTTTGCTTATTCCTGTTATTTTTTAAATCAATTTGTAAAATTCTTTGAAAAAAATTTTTTGTTTAGATTTTCATAGAAATTGAATTTATAGAATAAATGAGATCAATTGATATCCTTATAGTTTTCACTTTTCTTATTTCAAACGCAGTTAAATAATTGGAGGTAAAGAGGCAACACTTTCATTATTTACAGATAAAATTATATCTATACAGAAAACTCTAAGGGAATCTATAAACATTTTAGTAGATTAAAGAGTTCTGCAAAACTATTGGATTTAAAAACCAATAGCAATAAATTAAAAATATTTTAAAATTAAAAGATTATATTTATTAAGAAAGAAAAATTAGAAGGTACCTAAGAATAAATATAATATAATATATATACATATTTATGTAAATATGTAATTGTATTAATAAATCACAAAATGTGAAGTAAATAAAATATCCTATAAATATTTAGTTAGATTTATTCTTTTATAACTTATGATTTTTTTCTTACAGTTTCTTTATTTAAAAATTAATATTTTGATTGAGATTAAAGTATAGATATGTAAAATAAAATTTTCTATGTTGTCACTGTATTCAAACATCTTGCTAAACTGTATAATTTCTAATAAACTATCTATAGATCTCTGGGGGCTTTCTATAAAGATAATAACTCTGTTAAGAATGACCTTCAGTTCTTTTTCTTACTAACTGGCTAGGGCCTGCAATACAATGATGAATAGAAACTATGATGTAGGCATCCTTGGTTTTCTCTTAACTTTAAAGGGAATTTTTTGAATCTTTCGTGTTAGGAATGAACTATGAATATACTTTTCAGGTTGAAGAGGCTCCCTTCTATACCAAGTTTGCTGGTAGTTTTTATAGGGCTTATATATTAAGTTTTACCAAATACCTTTTTCTGATTGTGTCTTCTCATTTTTTTATTTTAAAAAATCTGTCAATATGGCAAATGACATTTCAAGATTTTCTAGCATAAAACCACCCTTGCATTTCTAAAACCCAATCTGATCATAATTTATAATAATTTTTTATATACTTATAGATTTGACTTGGTAACATTTTCTTTAGGATATTTGAAGGCAGCATCATTTTACAGGTAGAATTGCCTGTACCTTTTCCCCCCTCAGGCTATCTCTCTTTAGTTTTGGTATCATGTTTACTGGACTCTTAGCGTGAGCTGGGGAGTATTTCTTTCCCCTTTCTGTTCTCTGTAGAATACTTGTAACACTATGTGAATCATCAGGGCTTGAAGTTCTTTCTTGGTGGGGATGCTTCTGAATTCTGTTTCAGTTTCTGTATTAGTTATAAAACTGCTCAGCCTTTCTGTTTTTTTGTTTTGGAGCCAGTTTTATCAAGTTATGTTTTTGTTAATAAAGTTTAAAAATTTTTAAATGTATTGCATGAAGTTTTTAATAAAAATTCTATTCTTCCGGCTGGGCGTGGCTCAGGGTCAACCTGGGATCCAGGCGATCGAGGTTCGATTCCCGGTCAGGGCACATGCCCGGGTTTCGGGCTCGATCCCCAGTGTGGGGCGTGCAGGAGGCAGCCGATCAATGACTCTCTCATCATTGATGTTTCTCTCTCTCTCTCTCTCTCTCCCTCTCCTTTCGTCTCTCTGAAATCAGTAAAGATATGTTTAAAGAAAAGGAAAAAAAAAAAATTCTATTCTCAGTTTTTTGTTTTCTGTCACAACTGATGATGTCCCCATTCTTATTTGTTCTACTTTTTATGCCTTTCTATCTTTTTAATTCTCTCAAAAGGGTTTTTTAGTCTTTAAAAAAAACAGTATTTCAATTTGTACCAATTTTTTATCTTTTGCTGGTTGCTCTTAAGCTGTTCTTTTGTCTTTATCAATCTACAGTTTCACCCCAACGTGATTACATCTGGATTCACTTTTAAATTTATACTGCTTAGAACTTAGAATTTTCAGTGTCTTTTCAACCCATACACTGGTAACTGTCTTTATTTTTGGAAAACTATTACCTTGATCTCTTTGAATAGACAGATGACCCTTGAACAACATGGATTTGAACTGCACGGGTTCACTTATACAAGGGTTTTTTTTCATCTTGTAAACAGATGATGTAAACTTATGGCATCAATATCGATAGTACAGTATGGTAAATGTATTTTTCTTCCTTATGATTTTCTTAATAACATTTTTTTCTCTAGCTTACTTTATTGTAAGAATACTGTGAATAATATATATAACATACAAAATAAGTGTTAATCAACTGTTTATGTTATTGGAAAGGCTTCTGGTCAATAGTAGACTATTATTAGTTAAGTTTGGGGAGTCAAAAGTTATATGGTTATATGCAGACTTTTCACTGTGCAGGGGTGGGGGGGACTCCCACATTGTTCAAGGGTCAACTCTATCTTTTTTACCATTCCCTGAATTATCTCCTGGAGTTCCTGTTAGACATATTTTAGAGTCCCTTGATTTACCTTCCAGGCTTCCTAGTATTACTTATCTTTTATGTTCTTTTTGAATTCCTTAGCAATAGCTTCAGTAATAGTTGTCTGTGTTCTGTACAGAATGTGTTCTATTAAAAGTTAATTTTTTATTTTCAGATAGCTCTTTTTCATGTTTATCTGTTCTTGTTCTTTGTTTCAAATTTCTTATTCTTATTAATATTGATATAATTTCTCTCTCAGAGGATTATAAATATTATTTGAAGTCTTTTTAGGCATTTTCTATTTACATTTTATTTGGAGAGAATTCATATACTGATTATCAGTTTTGTTGTCCTTGTTACTAATGGTCAGTGGGTGTTTTGGAGTTTAGGTTGCCTATTTCCCTTGCATGATGGCCTGTCCTTTCTGCTCAGTGTGACAGTTGGGCAGTTGCCTCCACTATACACTTCAAGGCTCCCAGTCCAGAGCCAGGTCTGGCAGCTGGGATGCCTTCCCTGGCGGTTCAGTGTGATGCTAAGCTCAACACACCGAGGCTGCATTTATGTACTCCTGCCCATCTAGGTGCAAGCTCTATATGAGTCATAGCCACCATTAGACTCTTTTCTCAGACCCCTTTTCATGGTAGTGGAGCTTCAGACAACGTTCTTTCTCAAGCAGGAAACTTGTCTCTGTCCTGTGCCCTATAAGTGCATTTAAACTGTATATCATCGTAAGACCCAAGTTCCTAGCTACCTCTTTCTGTCTCTCCAGGTCCAGCAGACCTTTAGGCTCATCCTTGCTTGCTTCTTGCATTTCTGTTTCTTTTCTAATCTTGAAATTATGAAATTTCCAGTTCATTTCTTGAGCCAGAAGTGTCTTGGGTGTGACCTATAACCGGGGTCAGTCTGGTTTCCACTTCACAGAATGACATTTAGTTTGTGCATCCTACGTAAACGTGCATTCTGTTCCTCAAAGACTCTATGTGTTTTCAGGGATTCCCTTTCCCATGACCTATGATTCACATGTTCAACATGAAAATAGTACATCTAATGGGCTAACTGGGGGAGTTACTTTTTAATCTAGCTCTGTTATTGACTGGGTTTAGTAGCCCTTAGGAAATAGTTTGCTACATTGAACCTTTATTTTCTGATCTGGAACTTTTTTGGATAGTTAGGAAAATTAAGTGACATGTTACCCATGAAAGTACTATAAAAGTGCCATGAAAATATTTAGCTACATGTGTGCCTCATGTAGATTGAAAACACTGGAAATGTATCCAACCCAAAATATTTAATCTGTGATAGTTACTTGAGTGTTGTTTCAAGCAGCCATTCTTTTATATATTCATTCAGCCAATATTTACTGAGCTGCTGCTGTGCCAGGTCCTGACCTCAGCACAGTGAGGGAATGTGGCCCAGTATGGTTGAATCTCCCATGTGCTTTGTCTTCTAAGGGTGAGAGATTAAATTTGTCCAAATACACAGCTGTAATGCTAATAGCAGCCAGAAACAGATTCTGAGGAAAATAGGGAAGCTTAGATATAAACTAAAAACTCTTAGTCACTTTGACATATCTGCTCTTTACACTGGTATTTTCTTGGTTTAAGTGACGACATACTTAGATGACTGGGCCAGATTAAAAGATGAGATATTTTAAAACCTTTATTTTTTTCAAAAATTATGTGGCAATCCCTGACTTTGTATTTCTGGATAAGTAGGGGCAGAAATACAACTTCCTCCTCTCTCTGTGTTTAGCCTGTCAAGCTACCTTTATGCTCCCCTACTAGATGCTATTCACTTGCAGGGGATAAACCTCTTTAATAAAGAAGAAAGCAGTTGGTATATAGGCCAGATCTTGTTAGTTTTATAGTCCTTGGGTCCCTAACTCTGACATGGACATGACCAACCAAAGATTTACACAGATAACAGCTGTGATTTAGGTATTCCAACAGTCTTATAGCCGTAATAGACTACATTATAATACAGAAAGAACAAGAAATTAATGGAGCCAGGTATTTTATGGCTTTAATTTATTGCTTGCCTATTATATTGGCAACCATAGGATTGCTGCTAAATGTTCCTGTTATCAAGGATTGGAAAATCTTGCCCAGTGATTATTTTGTCCCTGAATTGAGGAACCAGCCATTTTGCCCGTCAGCATTTAATGACATTCTTGTATTTTGATTTTCTTTTCCTTAGGGCTTCTCCTTCCAAATGTACTTCTTTTTTCTTCCTTTTTAGACTTTATCTGCCCTTTCCAGATTGCACCATACCCGGGACCCTTTTCCAATGAGGCTGCCTTTCCTGTGGCATAGGTGCCCACAGGCAGTGCTGAGCGGTGCCTGCCAGCTGGGCCGGCTGTGGGGCCTGGAAGGCCAAGGAAAGGGCGGAGTGGGGAACGAAGAGCCTGTGGCATTGCCTCGGCAGGTGCCTTCTGCCTGACTGGCTTTCAGCCCAGCCTGGGGGCTAGTCCAGGCCGCACCTGCCACCTTGATCATAGCATCAGCCACCTCATTCCCACCCTGGGCCGCTGCTCTCATGCGCTGGGCAGCAGAGGAAGGAAGCAGTTAAGAAGTCGGGGTGCGTAGCAGGGTTTTAAGTTTAGCCTTCCAAGGAAGCCTCTCAAAACAGGTGGACTTCCCCTTTTTGGTGCAGAAAGTAAAAAAATGTTCAGCAGAAGAGACTGTGTTAGTGCTCCAGGCTTATAGAATGATGATGGTATTTATCGAACAATTACTAAGATATAGTCACCGTTCTGATCACTTTACATCTACTAACTCATTTAATTCTCATGACAATCCCACAGCTTAGGTTCTGTTATTGTCTTCACCCTGCTTATGGGGGAAGCTTAGAATCTAAGTCTTTGTCTAAATAGATAGTAAATGGACACAGACCCAAGCAATCTGGTTCTATAATTTTATTTAAAGTAAAAATATATAAATGTCACTGTTTCTATTGTCTATTGTTTTTATTGTTTCTATTTTCATTGTTTCTACTGAAATTGTATGTCATAGTTTCAATTTGTTGGTGCTACTAGGTTATTTCTTGAGAAAGTAATATTCCTAATATCTGCCTTTTATACAGAAAAATCTTTCAAATGAATGGAGAAGTTGTTAGTGCCATAAAGAAAGGGAAAATTTTTAATGACAAATCTCAACACCTAGAAGTAAATTGCTATTTTCACTGGGGTTTCCTAATATTTATACTTTTTTCTTTTTTCTCAGCAAACCTTGAAGAAGAAATGGGTGGAGTTCAGAACTCTGCAGTTACAGGAACAGCGCCTGCTTCATGGTAGATGTGATTTCCTGTTCAGAAACCACTAACATTTCACCCTTTCAGTATTTCTGCCTCTAAATTGCTTTAAGATTATCATCATTATAAGAAAAAATTGTCTAGCATGGATAAAGAATACTAGCCTGTGTTTCTTTGGAGTGACCTATGTATTTGAAGGAGAGATAAGTCACAGTCATATCCCCTCCTTCATACACATAACACATATGCACATGAAAGCATGCATGTAAGCACCTGTGTGTGCACGCTTGCAAGAGGCACCTGGAGATTTTAGAAGAGCCGTAGGAATGACTGCCTGATTTCAGCAGATGGATGAAATTCCTGAGGACGTTCATGGCTGTGTAGTTCTCAGAATCTGTTGAGGCTAAAATGGCAGCATGCTTCTTGTGTAGAGCTTCTATCATTTGTTCAAACTGTATAGGTTACATTAATTCAGAGAAATTCTCCTTCATGGCCTCCAAACCCAAGACAGAAATGTGAATGATCATAACGATAGTAAATTCATGGTTTTTGCCATTGTGTATATTCTAAAGGGAAGAGATGCATTTAGAATTTGTTGATTTGACATTTGCTATGTGACTAGTGTAACCTGAAGAATGAACTTATATGTATAAATAATTCATTGACATCACTAGCTAAGTGGGTGTGAAATATAGGTTATATCTTCTTTAAATAATACCAAGCCTAAAGTTTCTATTCATAACCTAAATATCTGTCAAAAGTGATCATATCTTTACAGAAAAAAGATACTTTTCATTTTTGATTAGGCACTCAGTTATGGCTTAGAAGTTGTGTTGAAGTTTTTTTTTAATGAAATTTGTATAAGTTACTTCTCTTTTTTATGTATTCAAGTTAATATTTAAAAAAAATTCATAACAAATTATTTGGGGTTCTCAAGATAGTTAGCAAGACAGAGGTACAAAATTTATCTACCTGTTGGATTCTGTAGACTTGAAAGTTTGGGAAACCTTTGCCTCCACTTTTGGAGCATTCTGTAGTAGAGATGGGCTTTGTCCTGGGATTCTATAGAAATGGCCTTGTAGAGACAAGGTCCTTATGTCAGAATCAAGGAGACTGACCCGTCATAAGGCCATTGCTGTACACATTTTTTGAGAGATTGAAGGAGTTCTTCTTTAGTTTTCTCCTCCTAGACCTAGAATAAATATTCAGGGCATGAGATTCTACAAAGCAACTGCTCTCTAATCAACTTGTTGCAAGATGAAATAAAGTAGGTCATATTAGCAAAAAGAAAAGAATTATGATTAATCACTGAGGGCTGGTCATACTCAACCTTGCAGATCAAAAGGAAAAATAAACAGTCTCCTTTTATATTATCAACCAAGGACAAAGGAGAGCCGTAGTAGAGATAACACAAAGTGAAACCATTTCTGAGTGTGCAATGTCCTAATTCTTTTCTTAAAGTATTTACTGTTTAACTATAGCTGCCCCTTGGCATTCATGGAGGATTGGTTCCAGGACCCAACTCTGTGGATACTAAAATTTGAGGATGCTCAAGTGCACTCTGTAAAATGCTGTAGTATTTGTATACACTTGTATTTACATGTAGGCTGCCACAAGGTGTGCCTATTTTTCACTTCATTCATGTGGATTCAGTGTAGTGCTTGGTGCCATGGCAAATTCGAGTTTTGCGTTTTGAAACTTCCTGAAATTATTTTTTTTTCTTAAATAATTTAGATCAGAGATTGGTTGAATCCACAGGGTTGACTATATCTTTCTCAGGCTGATATTACAGATAATCTCCTTTCATTTAGCAGTATACCAGCTAGTAGAGAAGCAAGTGGGGTATGGACAGGATGTTGGTTTGCAGTTAAAATTTGAGTTTGGAGAACCCAGATATAGGTTATAAAAGGTTGATGAAAAAATTCAGCTAAGGAGATAAAATTCAATTTCTTCAAATGAATTATTACTTATTTGAGGACAGGGCTGTTTTCTGAGTACAGTGCCATTCCAGAACATTTAAGCATTACAGTATTCTAATAAGGAACTTGGAATATGGAAGCTGGTCAATACCTTTTCTTTCTTAAACATCTTTGACTTCTCTATAATGAGCCTACAGGTGCAGGTTTTATAACTGTGTTTCCCCTACATTTCAAATGATATTATTATAAGTTTACAATCGTTAAAAAAGGGCAGTAGTTAAACATCAGAGGAACCAAATGGAGAAAATCTAAAGACAGTATTTCCCCAAGTATATTCTTTAGAACCCATTTCTGTAAGAATTTTAACAAAAGGTTTCAGGGTCACTTCAGTTTAAGAAATGAACCTTGTAAAAACTCACAAGTCACACTGGCACACTGTCGGATGAATAGAACCGTTCTCATATGAAGAATCTGGTTTAAATATATTTCATATAGCATCAGTGTTTTCATGACCATGAACCCTTTTACGTGGCAGGTAGGCCATGAACAGTAGTTTGGGAAATCCTACTCTAAGGTTTATCAAATGACCTCTTAACCAGTCACTTATATGCACAAGTCAAGGCTCAGTGAAAAATATTATTCACCCTACTCTTTCTTGCGCCCTTTGAAGAAAAATTGTGGTGTATTTACTTGTAGGGAGTGATGCTAAGATCTGGTCCACAGTAGACTCTGTTTTCTGCATTCTAGGTGATGCAGCTAACTGCCCAAGTTTGGAAAACATGGACATAGATGAATCCATTTTGTTCGGGACCCTGTCCGGATCAGGCTCAGCCTTCCCAGACCGGAACCGATTATCCAGCGAGAGCAGCTGTAAAAGCTGGCTGAGCTCCATGACAGTGGACAGCGAGGACGGCTACCAGACATGCGTGTCTGAGGACTCGGGCAAGGGGCCCTTCAGCCGCCAGACCAGCACAGACGACGAGTGCTTTGTCCTCAAGGACGGGGACGATTTTCTGAAGAGGTCGTCTTCGAGGAGGAACCGGAGCATCAGTACGGCCAGCAGCGGGTCCATGTCTCCCATGTGGGAGGGCAACTTCTCCAGCATGTTTGGGACCCTGCCCCGGAAAAGCAGAAGGAGCAGTGTCCGTAAACATCTGCTGAAATTTATCCCTGGCCTTCACCGCCCCGTGGAAGAGGAAGAGAGTCGCTTCTGATGGGCCGCCATGCCCTTTCCTGCGAGCTTGACTTCTGGACTCGTTCAGATCAACTCCACCCAGTTCAGTGGGAAAGTGCAAATGAATTGCAAAACTGACATCCCATTTCACGGCAAGAGTGACCTTTATTTAAAGTTTTTCTATAGTTATTTTTGCTTCTTAATTTTTTAGGGGGAACAGCTCAAGTTCTAAGCAGACAGTAAGGAAATAAGGTTATAATTTAGATAATACAACAAACTAACACAAGTGCTTGCTCATCCTAATGCTGCCTGCGAAGGCAAGAGTACTATTTATTTTATAGATTACCCGTGTGAAAAATTGAGAGCTTTTGAGACAAGTGTCAATAAGAGAGTGATATAATTATTTGGAATATCTTCTGTAGGTTAATAGGTACATATCAAAGCTTTATGTTCACTTACGTTCAGTAACCTCTGGGGGTCTTAGAAATAGGCAATTTTGAATGTGTCTATTGAAATCTATGAAGGATTATAAACAAAGATGATCATGAGCTATTTTTCACATCCACCGTGACAGTAAAGCAGGAAGTCTAAGATTTAATATGAGGGTTTAAGCTTCATGAGATTCATGGAAAGATACTGTCTAAGGTGGGTGCTGAGGAAGATTATAATAAGGTGTGTTTCTACCTAGCCTAAATAAAATGGGTGGGGATGTTATTCTTACCCAATTCATTTTTTATTCTGCCTAAATATTGAGGACAAGACTAGAACTCGCAAGATACATCTTTGTGATTTTTTTAAAATCAAATCTAAAATTCGAAAAATTAGTCAGGAAAAGGATTTTCCTCCTGTAGATGTTTCCCCATATTACTCCTCACCTTATGTTATGTATTTTAAATACTTATTGCCTCGGCACTCTTTAGTCTATTTGTTATGTTAGTATCACATTACATCTAGCCATTCAACCACATTTTTATTCAATGCCCATTAAAGTCCATAATTTTTCTGTTCTGGTGATACAGATGCCCCCTGTATCCTCGAGTAGATAAACCAGACAATGTAATAAAATCAGCCCTTACTGATTTTAAGGTGTGTGTGTGTGTGTGTGTGTGTGTGTGTGTTTGGGAGAAATAGTCATTTGATAGTTGACTTTCAGTGGAACTGCTACACTTAAATAAACTGAGTGAAGAATGAACATTTGAGAAAAAATAGAGGAGATGGTAAGAAATAAATAATAACATAAAAGTGATTTCTAATTGAGACCTGCTCTCCATTAATTCTTTGAATTCAGAAACGTCAGTGGGCTCTGCCTGAGAATCATTCATATGAAAAGCAGTGTGCAGCGCATTTTACAGAAACAATGCCAGTCCTGTCTACCATTTACTGAATCTTAGTAGGTTAATGTGGTTCTTATGGGATCCCTGAAATAACCCTGCAGATAGGTGTTAGGCATACAATAAGGAAGCAGGGATTTGGAGAAGTTCCCATGGTCAGTGGCAGGACTGAAATTGGAAGCCAGATCTTCCTGGCTCTAGCCTGTCATTATAGCCTCTTTAGATATTGGTTACTCTTTTGCTGATTCTGTGTAGTTATTTTAATCACCACAGGCCACAGGATCTCCCTCCTCTACCCCCTCCAAGAATATATAAAATGTGCAATTATGGATACTGCATTGATAAGGATACTGTTTTTGGTAAATAGGAAAACTAACACACATTTAGGGTGACTCTCTGGGTCTCCATAAGCAAGTTTTCAGGTATAGGCACATTTGTAACTGCATGGTTAGCAATATATTTCTTTTCAACAAGGGCTAGCACATGGATTGTGCTTCAACTGATAGTGCTTATTTCTTATCATAGACTAGAATTATCATGTCAAAGATCTGCTTACACGAATGCTGCATTTTCTGTTAATCCTATTTCACAAAGTTCAGCGGAAAAAAATGTCACATTTATTTGAGGAAAGATGACTTTAAAGTCTCCTACAATGTGAACAATGTTTTGAGAACCACCACAGGTCATCTGAGAAAGCAGAACATAGGTCATTTACTTTTCTTGTGGTTTTAAGTGTTAAATATAGTGCAATACTTTCTTCCAGTAAACATCAAACCCAAAAAGGCACAGGGAAGGGACAGAGCAAGTTCCACTGAAGCATTAGAGCCAAGAGTTAGCTACATTCTGGAAAAAAAGAAAAGCACTTTTTAACCAAAGTACAGGAAGGAAGGGTATGACATGCTTTGTGTGTTCACAAGGTGCAAGAAAACTAACTGTTGTTTAGTGGAAATGTGGGTAAATTTCTCACAACATAGCTTTTCGGACTGAGTATGATCTCAGGAGGGCTTTAGATTTCATTTCTCCGATCTGATGCAAAATGACTCACTTGATGCAATTTACTAAGAAACAAATTGAAAAGTGAAGTGTTTTTTTGAACTCCAAACTTGTCAAATATGTAATATTAGTGAATAGCATTAATTGACAATTTGTTATGAAAATGCATTTTTTAATATTCGTTGATAAGCCAAATTTGATTCAAACATATTGGGAATTACACTGTCATATGTGTAAAGGAGCATCACCATGTCAAAAAGGTTGGGAATTATAGTTTTTGAAGTAAACTTTTATTTATCACTTTCTGTTTTGTAATACTTTTATATCTTAGTTACATGATGCAAACAGTATTAAAAATTGTAATTTGTACTGAAGAAACCAAATGTGAACACAGTGTATGTGTACTGATTATCAAGTACAAGTATTTGTGGATGTATATAATCTAAGTACAATAAATAATACCTAACTATTGAATCCTTCAGATCACAAAATTATTAGTACTTTATATCCATTTCTTACAGAACTATGGGCAATAAAATAAAAATTTGATACCTTTCTGAAATAAAGAATATTATTCAGTGTCAGAACTTTTTCCCTATCTATCTCTTTCCCTACCTACCTTAAAGGAAATGGTTGTTTTAAGTGCAAATTTTTAAAAATCTGGGGTGAACACTTGACGCCTCTTTAAGCCTCTTTAAGGTTCTTAAAAGCCATTACCTACTAACTGAGGCTTTGCACTTTTACTAGCTTTCTCTTGTTATTTAACAAATTACTACAAACTTAGATGCTTAAAACATATTTATTATCTCAAAGTTTCTGTGGGTCAGGAGTATGGGCAAAGCATAGCGGGGTCTGCTCGGTGTCTCACAAGGTTGCAATCAAAGTGTCACCCAGGATTGAGTTCTTTTCTGGGGGCTTGACTGGGAAAGGATTTACTAAATTCCCTCAGATCCTTGTCAGAATCATTTCCTTGTGGCCATAAGATTCATAGCAACTTGCTTATTAAAAACCAACAATGGAAACAAAGACCGCAAGCAAGACCGGGCCTTAAATAATGCACTGTAACCACAGGAATGATATCCCATATTTTTTGCCATGTCGCAGAACAGAATTGCAGAGGGACATCTTATCAACTGCCATATTCTCTTTGTTAGACACAGTCACAGGGCCCACCCAGATTCCAGAAGCAGGGGTTATGCAAAGTCAGGAACGCCAGGGGATGGAGATCAGGTGCTGCTTTAGAGTCTTCACAACACCTTTCAGGAGGCCACAGATTTGATGGTATAAAGGTAATGAGTTTCTCTAAACTTTTTTGAGTAAAAATAAATGGTGAATATCGGTATTTTTAATTTTTCTAATGGTAAGAGTAAAGATCTTTGAAATGAAAGAACCTGGTCAAGATTGTATAACTAGTCAAAAAGCTGAATAGGGAACTGGATCCAGGTCTATTACTAACCTCCCAACTTTGTCCCCCATGTGCATGAAATGATAGAAGGTTTAAAAAGAATATTGTAGAATAAATTGTTACTTGCTTTCAGATTCTGCTGGGGAAATCGGAATGTACTTAAGTAAATTTAGTGATTTATCACTTCTATATTGGTGCATCTTTATGGGCAGAAGACAGGAATTTCACAGAAAAACAAAACAAAACTCATAATCAAAATTACAAAGCACTGAAGGAGAGGAACAATGATGAGGAAAGGTCAAGAGATATAATTTGAGAAAACAAAGCAGTTTGAATGAATGTAAGACATATATCTCTTAGGAAGAGTATAAGTCCCTCAGCTTAATAAAGAACATCTACAAAAAAATATATAGCTAATATCATAACAGTAAGAAACGATGCTTTCTCCTTGAGATCATGTACAAACTAAGGATGTTTTCTCACTAGGTCTATTCAATATTGTACTAACAGTCCTACCTATACCTAGTACACAAAGACAAGGAAAGAAAATAAAAGGTATAGAAGTGGGGAAGGAAGAAATGAAACTGTCTTTGTTTGCAAATGATATGGTTATCTATGTTGAAAATCCCAAAGAATCAACAACAAAAATTCTGGAACTAATAAGTGAGTATAGCAAGGTCACAGATACAAATTACTGTATAAAAATCAACTGATTTTTTATATACTAGCAATGAACAACTAGGATTTGAAATTAAATAAACAGTACCATTTACCCCCAAAATGAAATACTTAGATATAAACCTAACAAAATATATGCAGAATCTATACAGGGAAAACTCTAAAACTCTGATAAAAAAAAAAAATACAAGAAAATCTAACGCTAGATGCTCTGTGTTCATGGATTGGAAGAGTCAGTAGTGTTAAAATGTCAGTTCTTCCTAACAATCTATAGATTTAGTAAAATACCAATGAAAATTCCAGCACACTATTTTGTAGACATTGACAAACTGCTTCTAAATTTTATATGGAAAGGCAAAGACCTAGAATAGCTGGTGTAAAACTGGAGGAGGAGGGAGGGGAAGAGGGAGAAGAGAAAGAGGAAAAGGGTGCTGGAGAAATCACAATACCCAATTTCTAGACTTTTAATAAATCTACAATAATTAAGACAGTGTAGTATTTGCAAAAGAGTAGCTATATAGATCAATAAAACAGAATAGAGTGCTCAGAAATAGACCCACATAAATATAGTCAGTCACTGATCTTTGACAAAAGAGCAAATGCAGTTAAATGAAGAAAGGACAGTGTTTGCAACAAATGTTTCTGGGACAATTGGACATCCATATGCAAAACTTTACACATTTTGCAAAATTAACTTGAAATTGCATCATAGACTTATATGTAAAACATAAAATTATAAAACTTCTAGAAGATAATATAGGAGAAAGCCTAGATGTCAGTGGGGTTTGGGGATGAATTTTTAGATACACCAAAAGCATGATTCATGAAAGAAAAAGTTGGTATATTGGACCTTATTAAAAACTCTGTTTTGAGAAAGATGTGTTAAGAGAATCAAAAGTCACAAAGTAGGAGAAAATATTTGCAAAACATTTGTAAAAGGACTTATATTCAAACTATAAAAAGAACTCTTAAAAGAAAAATAAAACAAGAACAAAAACAACCCAATTAAAACATGTTCAAAAGATATGAATAAACACAGCTCCAAC